TTTTTTTTTTTTAAGGCATAGAATTTAAATTAAGACCTTAAATATTTTAAGACATGGTAACGTTAATTGTTGTTTCATTGTTTTGCGTAATAGCCACCCCCTGACGAGCGAAAACGTTAACAGTCGTATTTCGTTAGCAGCAAGAGCGCGTTTCCGGTTTAAGTGAACGGAACTCGCAGTCTTTCTTCCGGTCTGTTAATTTAGATAGTGAGATGAATTCCTGCCGATGATATACCTTCGTCAGGCTCGTGCGCGTCTTTTTTTTCTACAATATCTCCGCAACCGCCATCTTTTCAACACAACGAAGAAGGAAATTTTCTTTTCGTAGTGTTTCATACTCTATTATTAAATTGCGGACAACCGTACACTTATGAAATTCGAAAGTGTAAAGATACACAGAACGTACGTATATGTACTGTACTATATATACATAAAATATTCTATATGCTATATTGCATAAGATATTCAACGTAAAGTATAGGTTATGATAAATCTCTCTATTTTTCTTTTTCTTGTCATATTCGTAAAAATATAGCAGTCTTATTACTGTATTATTATATATTATTATAAATAATTACGTATTTAATTATAATTGATCAGTTTTTATTTTAAATCGTGAATTTTTTCTTGGTCAGTGAAAAATGTGTTTCACTTTTAACTGGTGTTTCAAGTCTGTCTATTCAGTAACAATCTAAATTTCTTAATAATAATTTCTAAATATTTAATTAATGATATAGTTACATAATAATAATCTCTTAATAGTAGTCTAAATTTCTTTTAGTTGGCGCTTCAAGTCTGTCCATTCAAAAATAAATTCAACAATCTCTTAATAGTAATTGAAAAATGCAGTTACAGTTACATGCTACACGACTTGGGATCTGTGAATCATCATAACTTTTCTGAATGTTATGCGACCTTATAGTTGTCGGACAATTAACATCGGCCATGAGGATTTCCATCTGTTCACCACATTGAAATTATGTAAGAATGTTTTCTTAAAAAAAAAAAAAGAAAAAAATTGCATAAACCTCCTGACGTAACAATTAAGATCCCCCTTTCTCTCTATATAAAAATACTGGTTAAGTCTTCGATAATCGACTTCCTTTGGTGGAAAGTGAAATTAGTTATGATCAGGAAGGTAATCGTGCCCAGTAATTCTATTACTGATTCATTACTCTAATGTTAATTGGTAAGGGAAAATTTGTTATTTTTAGAAAGGAATTTGTTGTTTGTCTGGAAACACAATGTAATGATCTTCGGATTTTTGTCCAATCATTCTCGAGCCACGATGATCTATGATGCAGCCTGTACAACCTCTGGAAGAGAAACGTTTATTGGCAATTGTGCAATTTAGTATATAGACTTTCAATTTTGTTCGATTGCAATCATTTGTCTAAGGAGCTTTCATAACACAAGAAACCAAGAATGTAATGTAAAAATTATAAATTGTCGTTTCCTAAAAGTATTTAGAAACATATCATTTTTGTCTAACTCATTTAATACTCAAAGTTGACGGAAGAGATTAAGTGGAACTCGGATAAACCTGGATTGACTTCTCATAAACGGAATCATAATATTGTTTGAGAAATCAAGGAATTGAATAGTCAACATACGAAGGAATCACCAAACCGCGTAATTGAACATTAAACGTCTCACGTCCAGAAGAATGAGGTTGAGTTACTATGTTTAAGGTTGTAAATGGACGTACAAGGATCAGAAAGGATGGGATCGATCGTAGAGACCGAGAAGTTTTAGTCCACGTAGTCGACAAAATAGACGTTACTTCGCACATGCCCACTGGCAATGCATCCTGGGTAGCTTCTGTCCGAGATTCCGCGTCTATCGATCGGCCATACACTTGATTCGCAGCCGATGACCTAGCGATCTTTCTGATTGCTTGCCCATTCGAAGACCACCGATGATCACTTGTCGTGCTAAACATAGCACCGTATGCTATGAGCTATCGATGAAATTCGTGGCCATCAACGGGATACATGTTTGCCTTTTCTCCAATCGTGATAACTTTACCCGTAAGGTATCAACAATCATACACATGTTTCATTCATAGTTAAGATATATTTCTGAATTGTTGAATCACACGTCTAGGTAGGAAAAAGGGCCACTGATTTTAAAGCGTCACCGTCAGTTTCAAGATCATCTTCAGCTTAACTGATTTGTGAGGTAAATTTCTTCCTTGATCGTTCATTCATTACAGCCAGTTTGTATAATTCTCTTAAATCAGTATGCACAAACGTGCAGAGTATGAAGAATACCTGTGATAAAATCTATTCTGAGACGCGTTGAATTGTGTAATTTATCCGCAAGTGTAATTGCACGCGGACATTGTACCTGCGATGAGTCGTCGCCTTGAAGATACTATTTTTCCACTATCGGATGTGGTGTTCCCTCTGTCTCGTTTCGCACGGTTCTGTTTCTGATTCTTCTCGGACAATGATCGTCGTCCTTCGGACTGTTCCATTTCGAATCCCTACAGTTAGCCGATTAGATGCCGTGCTTACATTGAATCGCACGATTGCTATTGCTCTCTGTGCAATCCTTCTTGCGCTGTGATTATTTGAAATTGGTGTTTGAAACGTCCAGGTGGATTGTGTTCTTTCTTCGAATTGATCTTTGTCAAATATAACTTAGATTCAGATTCAGATTGTCATTCTAATCGTGTTATATTATGATATTAATTATTGATATTTCTAGAAACGAGACTGTACTATTCTCCTAATTGCAAAGCCAAGGTGACAAAAGGACAAAAGAAATGGAATGAATTATTTTAATTATTTCAAGATAGATTAAAATATCGTTGATTATTAATTGTACTGTGACATGTATTAAATGTTTAATGGTAATGTCGAAACTTTATTGCGAATAATTCATACATGTCATATTGATGGATGAATTTAAATTTGGGAGAGAAAAGCGTGATGAAAGTTGCTGGAAGCTTTAACATTCCAGAGAAGGTTAAAAGACTTTCTATTCCACTCAGATGATCTAATTTCTGGATCTAATTTTATTTAACGTATAAGTTACCATAAAGGAAACTTTTAGGATGAAGAAACTGTAGCAGTTGCATTCAAAGAACGACCGAGTTCTAAGTATGATAATTCCTACAAATGTAGAATAATGGGATCGAATAATCGTTGGGAAAGCGCATTACATTGTGTGGAAATTACTTGACTTGGAAGAAACCGCATTAATGTTTCACTCGAAAAGATATATATATAAGTATCGCCCATGATACTTAAGTACGTCTTCGAGATTCGTTTTTAAATGTTGTCAGTGTAACGACGATACTCGGATTTTAATGGAATTTCGAAATGCCCGATTTTGCACGGACGACGACCAGCAGTTTGTTCAACCAAATTGCTCGAAATTAGCATTGAAAGATATCACTGACTGCGGCGGTAATAAACGCGTCAGGAGCCAATAAGAAAAGCTTGAAACACGCGAAATGCGAGAACCAGAGGTAACCAGATGTTGTGTTTATATGTTCGTGTTTTGCAATACGTTAAGTCCGTTCTTTTTGATAATCCACGCTTGTTGCAGCTATCGTCTTACCAAAACACGTTATCAGTGACGCCCCCTGTCGGAGTCTGGCCTCGGCAGAAACATCTCGGTGTGCACACACCCCTTCAACTTTTAGATAATTCCGATAGCGCGTGATTGCTACATTCAACGACCTATCTCTTTGTTGTTCGCAACTGTCCGATTCCATCGGGTTTCTCTCGTTCAGACGTACTACAAGCACGTTGCCCGTATTTCTCTCAGCTATATACCATGTCTCTCTCGTTGCTTATTTATAACGTCAGTTCGAAAACAAGAGGCGCAATCGGCCACTTTTATCGATTTTCACACTCGAGGCTGTGTTTACGCGGTAAAACTTTTCTTTTTGCGGGATTGAAAGACGCTCGTTAGCAGAGACGCTATTTCGGGAAACGTACAGGGGAATTTGTAAACGAAAGTTAAAAGCGTTTTATTTGTTACTTTGTCTCTTAGTGTTTCTCAGTAATGATCTCCGTCGGAAAATCGGCTTGTACAAACCGCGACAAAAAATAATATTCGACATTGAAGCAGATAGAATCGAGCATTTCAGCTAGCGTTGTAACGTTGTCCCATTGAAAAGAAGAAAGTTCTATTTTGCCTTGATGTGATAATATACAACTAAGAACAGTTCAGAAGCTACATGAATCAAAAATCTGGAAAAAGTGTTACGCACACTGAACGTATCTTTGCATATTATTTATATCATATATGATGATATATGTCGCATGTAAGAATATGAACTTACACACAAAAATTAGTGAAAATTTTCTGCCAACTATTCAGTTTGATTTCTCTTATTTCTCTTACACATTGGTTAGTACAAGTAGCTTTTTTTCTGGTCTGAAAGGAGCAGCAAACAATCGTGAAACTTGACACTGCGAGTAGGTGAAGGCCAGTTATAGTGGTGTGTCACTTTAAGTGCAAGACGTCTCGTCTCCTACTTGTTCCTCCTCATTTTTGCTAAATCGATGGAGTAGAAGAATCTGTAACTATATCTGATTTTTCTTTTAGATAGTTGTCTTTCTAGCTCTCTTAATTCGAAGACCTAAACTACCAATTCGACCGCGACGAGAAGAGGCAATTAGACGTTAAGATCAATGGCCAGAGCTGCTGTTGTTACTGCACTGACAAAGTACAAACGTTAAACTGCGTGGTTTCTGCCTTTTATATAAATAGCAAGAGCACACATCGCTCAATGAACACGCTACTTCTGGACCCGTCTTCAAGCGAACATTATTAGAAGAGGAGAGGAAGCAAGTGACAAGGTCGAGCACTTGCCGGGACGTTTCGCTGTTTTGGCAACGGTCGTGCGAGACGTGCTTCCTTCGCGAGGAGCATAAACAAAAGAATTTCACACGGAGAGTCACGCCGTGCCCTCTGCACTTTCCGCTTACGTAAAATGAAATGATAGAAGTTGTGTTGTGCAAGACGCAAGGAGGAGGGAGCGGCTTTTACAACGGCGAGGAAAGCAGAAAAGAAGGTGATGATCGAGGCGGAAGATTTTGAAGGGGAAGGAACGCACATGGCGTGCCTGATATTCTTAGAACTCGGTTGCGAAACCACTTGGCAATCTGTAGCCCTTTGTCGGCCATTATACTTTCCTCATTGCCTTCTCTACCGATTTGAAACGTAGTGCTCGGCACTTGCCGACGCCAGCGCAGGTTTTTAATTTTAGATCGCTTTGTTTTTCCATGGCAGGTGCTGCCTTCGAACTTTCTTCGTCTTCTGGGAAAGATATTTCAGTTCTGTTCCCTCGTGTGCCACGTTTGGAGAATGAATCGGCACGAGGAAATTGTGAATCATTCGCGGAAAACTAGAATCGTTCTACGCTCTGTTTCGTAGAACGTTTCCCTTTACGCACGTTGATGCAACGAGGAGCGTCTTTCTTCAGATTTTTTTCTTCATCCGCTGTGATGGAAAGCAACGGAATAGTTTGCTGGAATGCGAAAGAAGCGAGATGATAGTTTCTGATGGTTTCCTTGGAAATGGCTAATCTTAGCGGTCTTTTAATTGCTACTATTTTCCAGAACAGTAAGAAAGTTTACGAGTGGCTGTTTCCTCTTATATTATTCTTTTTTATCACCACCATCTTCCCTGCTCTGTACAGCACACTACATTATCAAGTGCACGTATATTTTTCTTACTTCCAACATAAAAGACCATTCTCTTGGATGAAGTGAAGAACTTTTTATCTGATCTTCTTTCTATTTTTGAGGTGACGTACTACAGTAATTTATTATACAGTATCTGCTGTATCTTTTTTATTATTCAATCTCTTGTTAAAATCAGGATTAGTCAGTATCAGTTCAAGTACACTCTTTCAAATCTGATTTCCTTAACAAAAAAAAAAAGAAAAAAACGAAGCTCTTTTTCAGGAGCTCCCCTCAAAGGGGAGAAAGTAACTTTTCGTTGGGAAATAAATGAAATTCCTGACTGATGATCGGAGGTTCATTGTTCTCTGTTTCAGACCTGGTGCGGTGCACGAACGAGCCGAACGTGTCGATACCTCAGCTGGCGAATCTTTTGATAGAACGATCGCAGAACACGAACTGGACGGTCGTTTTCAAAGCTCTGATCACGGTGCACCATATGCTTTGTTACGGCAATGAGGTAAATACCACGAAGCCCCCTGGCCCCTTAACAATGCAGATAGGATCCACGGAGTAGCGAACGGGGTCCTTCCCGACAAAGTGATTTTTTAAGGGCAAACAGACGAGCTTTCTTCCCCTTTGCCTCTCCATAAATGCCAATTTATGGGATATATAATAGGCTAACGAACATCTCTTGTAAATCATCAGTTACAGAGCACAACTTGTACGTTCACCTTAATTGGCTTTCAATTATACAAGTTTCATTTATTGCATTCTCAAAGCTCACTGAATTCGCTGAATGTACTCTGGCCAATCGAATAAACGTGTTTAACCCTTTGCGATCCAACGTCGAGTCTGACTCGACATAACATTGTCTTGCAGCAGATCCAACGTCGAGTGTGGCTCGACATAATTTTTAGATTTAAGAATTACAATTGTTTTGATTATATCTTTGCACGCCAATGAACGATTGTCAGATTTATGAGATCAGATCGTTTTACAGTTTCATAATTTGTGTGTTTTTATTGCGAAGTAAATTCTTTTTTTTTTTACTTTTGCGCGGCACTGCACTGCGTCTTCTTTACCAACTGTTGATAAAATTACTTTTACAATCAGTCGTGTTAGTATCTCATTCCTGCCAATTTTTAGCTTTTATCGTAGTGAACTTGCATTTTTATAATATCTTTGT